CGATTGTCAAGAGCAGAATTTATTTTGGGGTGATTTTTGGTGGTGAATTATGGTAGCAGCAAAACGTATATAGGTAAAAAAAAAATTTAAATTATTAAACAGGAAAAAAAAAAATGAGGGGATATCGTTACCATTTATCACAAGATAGCCCAAGCTTTGTCTAAAAGGAAATGATAAAACTTATTTTGGGTACCATGTTGCATGACTAAACTAATTGTCAAAGTATGACAGCGCTGAAACATGAAAAATGGCCTGGATGGGAAGGGGATTTAACATGCTGGTCTCCAAGTGCTTAAAGAATATGTGAACACCATACAATAAAAAAGCACACAAAAATATTATGTATTGCCCATATCACATTTAACTTTGTTAAAACATTTACCATCTTCTTGCTATAATTTATTCTTTAGTCTTGTGACTGCACAGCCTTCCTTAGCATCCCTCTTCCTAAGTGGATGTGTTTGATTAGGTAGTAGACAGGCAGTATCCAATTTCAAAACACAGTGGAAATTCAATTGCCATTTTTGTGCAGTCATCCCTCTTCTCCATTCCTGACACGATGCTATGTTGTGCAGCCTGCAGCCTTCCTTGCTAGCCAGTTACTCTGTCCAAGTCCTGCCACCTGCTGTTGTCCACCTCAAACACTGCAACAACATGCACAAACTCCAGTTGACAGTCTGGGCAGCCTGCTGTTCTCCACAATCTCCAATATTCTACTAGCTGGCTTCTCTTCAGATCCTGGCAACCAGTCATCCACCTCATACCAACTGACTTCTAAAATCTAAATAATAGCACTTCCCAAATTGCCAGGGTAGTAACTATTCATAAAACCTCTGCATTCAAATTTATTGGTAGCATTGGTATTTGTTACATGTCTCAATTCATATAGCATGGGCAGCTGGTGGCAACTAGGTCACTGCTTGAAGGCAACGGAAAAAAGAGATCCACGCTGTGCTACAGGAGTAGGATAGTGCCTCCTCCAGGCTGAATTATGCAAAGACGTCTCTCCACACAGCAGATGTCAGTGATTGGTGCCTCAGCCTTAAGCACTATAAAACCTGGCAGGTGCAGGAATTTTGAAAAGGTGCCCAACAATGCAAACACTGAGCTAGCTCCCCATGTTTTAGCCCTAACAGCCTTAATCACAAAGTTAGTCTAAAGAGACAAGGTTAGACCTAGGGCTGTGCCATGGCTTTGGACCTGAAAAGTGCACCATGATTAATAGTACACTACATGCACAAAGCTCTGCATGGTCACGCTATCTAGACCAAAGGTCATATTACAGGCTAGTCCTGCATATCCAGCCCAGTCGGTTCTATATACGCCTTACAAAAGTAGGCTGGGATCCACCTTCCTAGGACAGTAGCAAAAAACTGAGACATTCTAGGTACAGGATGGCTTAGACGAGGGCTGGCTTACAGTTTTTTCTCTGTCTCTAAGCCTCCTATAGGTGGCAGTATAATGACTTTTTTTCTCTTTGCTTATTTTTTTGTCTCTTGAGAAGTGTGCAATAAATATTAAACATCTGTTACAAGCTGTTACCCAAGCCAATTACAAGAAAAAGTAGTAATGATTGGTAGACTGCAGTAACAATTGTTTCAAATTACCAGTCATAAGGTCATTTGGTAATAAAAATAAATTTTTGTTATATATAGAACACAGTAAAATCAACATATTTCAAGCTTTGAGAATACCAAGCGAGAGGACCCATAGGTCAACAGGTATCAGTAACCTTGTAACAAGAAACTTTCCAAGTCTTGAATAAAACATAATGTACTTGCAAGTAGAGTGGGGAAAACTGTGGGTACCAGGTAAAGAGGAGAGGAAGGAAGGAAAAAGCAGGGATGTCACTCCCTGGGGATATACTGTGGAAAACCACAGTTGACTTAAAAGCCAGCTTGAGCTGAGCTATCTTCCCTTCCTCCGAACGCAAGGCATTACTTGTAGATAGGAATCAGTGATAGTATATTATCTCCACGGCCTCCATTTGTCATAGAATTGTGAAGAGTAGCAGTGATTTCCTCCATAAGTAGATCTGGTTGATGGTTGTGTTTGCTTCCCCAAAGGGTTCTGGCTTAAGTCAACTGATGTCAGTTTAACTGAGGCAGTCACATCCTCTCAAAACAACTGACGTTTTGGGCAACACCAGAAAATAAGACATTGTTCCAACTGCCTTGGAACAGCACCAGCAAGTGTTCGGGACATTGCGATCTATTTTATGCAACACAAGGCACCTTGTACCATCTGGACAGTATTTTATATCCCAGTACCTATTAGCAGTGGACGATTTGCAGGACAGATGCAATATCTTGTCTATTTGCTGGGTTGTGAATTTGGTTCCAAAATCCAATTCCCACTATTGCATAAACGGCGGGTAGGATTAATTGGCTGGCAACAGCAGGTGTCCAGATGGTATGTCCCTCTTGCATAAAAGATTGAAACATAGTCATTTAACAGGATTATAAATAAATGTCACGTCTGTAGATAATGCCCATACTGCAGGGTGCTCCAGAAGTCTAAGGTAGTGTTAGATTTTGACACTCCCCATTACAGCTGTTAGAGAGGACATTCAGGGAGAGATGCTAATGTAGTGGAAAGTGGCTCTGGATTGTTGAATACAGTTCTCCTCCCTATCAGCTCATGCACACTGCTTTGGCGGTCTGTGCACAGCCTAGCCATGCAAATCTGTGTGTGCGCTTTACACTGTAATCACACTAACACAAGTGAAAGCACACAGTTAACCTGTTTATTACCCCTCATGTTAACCCCTTCCTGCCCAGTGCCCTTAGTACAGTGTCAGTTTTTTTTTTTTTTTTTTTTTTAGCACAGATCACTGTATTGGTGTCACTGGGGATGTCAGTAACACCAAGTCAGTTCCCCCCAGTGTCAGAATGCCCGCTGCAGTCCCGCTATTAAGACACTGATCACCGCCCTTACCAGTAAAAATAAATAAAAACTCCAGTATCTACACCATTTTTAAATGCTAAAACTTTCACGCAAGCCAATTAATTTATATGCATTGGATTTTTCTTTTTTTTAGCAAAGACGTAGCAGAATACAGTTTAGCCTAAATTTATGACGAAGTTTGATTTTTGTTTTTTTTTACTGGACATGTTTAATAGCAAACGTAAAAAAAAAAAATTCTCAAAATTGTCAATTTTTTTTTTTAATAGAGCGAAAAATAAAAAAAACGTACAAGCAATCAAATACCACAGAAAGAAAGCTCAATTTGGGGGGGGGGGGGGGGGGGGGGGGAACAAAATAAAAAAAGAATGTAAAATTTAATTTGGGTGCAGTAACAGCACTGTAACACAAAAAATGGCCTGGTCAGGAAGGAATTACCTCAGGAGGGCAAGTGGAAGTCCAGTCAAAATAAATATATGGGGAAAAAAAAAAAAGTGAGCAGCTACAAAAACTAGCTGCTGACTTTTGAAAAACAGACACTCATCTGTCCCTCGATTATGTAGTGTCATCACATCAGCTGGGTTCACCGGCTGTCCTGTGTCCCCGATACCGACATCTTCAGTGTGGGCATGCGCAAGTAACTCTGCGCTTTGTTAATGGTCCTGTAGTCTTCTGGGACCTGTCACGTGTCCCAGAAGGCTATGAGGAGGGGGCGGGAAACTTCCAATCACCTAGCCCATCACAGCAAAAGTGGGAGCAGGTACCCGTCAAATTCGGATACTCCCTCCCCCTGCTCCCCAAAGGTCCCAATCCTTAATGGGGAGTGAGGGAAAAGGCCTTAAAGCAGAAATTTCCCCTTTTGGGTGGAGCTTCGCCATAATGGAGGTAGGTAGTCCATGGAAACTGGTAAGGCCTGAAGAAGATAGAGAATCCATAGCAGAATAGTCATTTTCAGTGAACTGCAGTGACCAAACCAAGACAACATGAGCAAGTGCCAATGCTGGAAGTCACGTTTAATGCTATGGAGCAGGGTATAAGATTTGCAGCGTATAATTGGTAATGATCTGCAAGATCATTGGTAATGTTGGTACCTAAATAAGTTATTTCCTTATCAGCACAGCTAAAGGGTACAGCAGCTGTAACCTGTTTTCTAATTCCGGAGTCCCTTAAATGAACCCTTTGCTGGGGTAAAGTTCAATCTTTTTGGGCAAATCAAATATACACTTATTTCCACTTTAAACCCCTTGGCGCCAGTGCCACCTGGCTCCTAGGCCCAGACGCCAGGAGGCCGCACATTTGCGTTCGGCAGGCGCAAAGAGGTTAATCAATAAAGATGTGGTGCAATTTTACCTACAAAGTACTCAGGATTCTGCAGCAGAGTAGCCTGCATTGAATATACAGCGGGTAAAATAAGTATTGAACACATCACCAAAATTTTGAAAACCATTTATCATTTTCCTTCCCCTTCACAATTATGTTCCACTTTGTGTTGGCCTATCACATAAAATCCCAATACATACCGTATATACTCGAGTATAAGCCGAGTTTTCAGCACATTTTTTGTGCTGAAAAACGGCCCCCTCGGCTTATACTCGAGTCAACGTCTGCAGATGGCCCCCCCCCCCCCCCTTCCAACAGAAGGGAAACTACGGTAAGTACAGGGGTGGGCAGGGGGCTGCTGTCTCTTACCTGGCTCCGGTCCCACGACGATCCGGTCCAGGAAGCACGGCTGCTCCTTCATTCGGTTCGTCCACTGGATGTTCGCGCGGCTGCTCGGCTCCGCATTCTCACTGGTGATTGGCCGCCAGAACTGTAGCTCAGGAAAGGCACACAGGCGGCCAATCACCGGCGAGGAGGCGGAGCTGAGCGGCCCCGCAAAAATCGAGTGAAGGAGATGCAGGTAAGTGTGCCGTGCTTAGGTGCTGCTGCAACCACATATGCTGGCTGCAGCAGCACCATACTGGAACAGGGGTCACCAAGTGTCAGTGGGAGGAATAGTGCCCCATCATTGGTGTCACTGATACCAATGATGGGGCATTATTCCTCCCACTGACACCAACGATGGGGCACTTTTTCCTCCCCCCCCACTGACACCAAAGATTGGGCACTATTCCTCCCCCCACTGACACCAATCATGGAGCACTATTCCACCCCCCACTGACACCAATCATGGGATACTATTCCTCCCCCCCACTGACACCAACGATGGGGCACTTTTCCTCCCCCCCACTGACACCAACGATGGGGCACTATTCCTCCAACCCCCCACTGACACCAATGATGGGATACTATTCCTCCCACTGACACTAATGTTGGGACACTATTCCTCCCACTGACACCAAAGATGGGGCACTATTCCACTGACACCAATAATGGGGTGCTATTCCCCCCACTGATACTAATGATGGGGCACTATTCCTACCACTGATACCAATGATGGGGCACTATTCCTCCCACTAACACCAATGATGGGGCGCTATTCCTCCCACTGACACCAATGATGGGGCGCTATTCCTCCCACTGACACCAATGATGGGGCGCTATTCCTCCCACTGACACCAATGATGGGGCGCTATTCCTCCCACTGACACCAATGATGGAGCACTATTCCTCCCACTGACACCAATGATGGGGCACTATTCCTCCCACTGACACCAATGATGGGGCACTATTCCACTGACACCAATAATGGGGTGCTATTCCCCCCACTGATACTAATGATGGGGCACTATTCTTGCCACTGATACCAATGATGGGGCGCTATTCCTCCCACTGACACCAATGATGGGGCGCTATTCCTCCCACTGACACCAATGATGGGGCACTATTCCTCCCACTGACACCAATGATGGGGCACGATTCCTCCCACTGACACCAATGATGGGGCACTATTCCTCCCACTGACACCAATGATGGGGCACTATTCCTCCCACTGACACCAATGATGGGGCACTATTCCTCCCACTGACACCAATGATGGGGCACTATTCCTCCCACTGACACCAATGATGAGGCACGATTCTTCCCACTGGTGTTCCCACCCTCGGCTTATACTGGAGTCAATAGTTTTTCCCAGTTTTTTGTGGTAAAATTAGGTACCTCGGCTTATATTCGGGTCGGCTTATACTCGAGTATATACGGTATACGTTTTTTGTTGCAAGATGACAAAATGTGTAAAATTTCCAGGAGGTATGAATACTTTTTCAAGGCACTGTAAGTTGCGTGTAATAAAATGGAATGACACAGGGAAAAAAGTAGTGAACACATCAGGAAAGGGAGATGCAATAAAGGCATTGAAAGCCAAGACATCAGCTGAAATCTATCAGTAATTAGAAAGCAATCCTGCCCCTTGTCAGTGCTGGTTCAGTTTCAACTGATGGCCTATAAAAAGGTGTCTTATTACCAAGGTGTCACATAAGAAACATCTCACAATGGTTAAAAGCAAAGAGCTCTCTCAAGACCTTCACAACCTTATTGTTGTGATGCATTGGTTACAGGAGGATTTCTAAACTTCTGAATGTTCCAGTGAGCACTGTTGGGGCCATAATCCAGAAATTGAAAGAACATCATTCCATCATAAACTGACCACAACCAGGGGCTCCTCTCAAGATTTCTGACAAGGAGTGAAAAGAATTATCAGAAGAGTTGTCCAGGAGCCAAGGACCACTTGTCGAGAGCTTCAGACAGACCTGAAATTAGCAGGTACAATAATTTCAAAGAAAATAATAAGCAATTCACTTAACCGCCATGGCCTGTATATAAGCTCACCACTACTGCTGAAGAAAAAAAGCATGTTGAAGCTTGTTTAAAGTTTGCTGCACAACATTTAGACAAGCCTGTGAAATACTGGGAGAATATAGTGTGGTCAGATGAGACCCAAATTGAACTCTTTGGATGCCATAATACACACATGTTTGGAGGTCAAATGGCACTGCACATAACCCCAAAAACACCATACCAAAAGTGTAGTTTGGAGAACGTCAAGGTGTGGGGCTGTTTTTTAGCATACGGTACTGGAAAACCTCATGTCATTGAAGGAAGGGTGAATGGAAAAGTGTACCAAGACATTCTTGATAAACATTTGCTGCAATCTACCAGGATGATGAAGATAAAACAAGGATGGACATTTCAGCAAGACAATTATCCCCAACACAAAGCCAAGAAAACTCTCAATTGGTTTCAAAGAAAGAAAATAAAGCTGCTAGAATGTCACAGCCAATCACCTGACTTGAATCCAATAGAAAATCTATGGAAAGAACTAAAGATCAGAGCTGATAGAAAAGGCCCAGGAAACCCTCAAGATTTGAAGACTGTTTATGTGGAAGAAAGGCCAAAAATCACACCTGAGCAACGCATGCAACTAGTTTCTCTATACAGGAGGCATCCTGAAGCCGTCATTACCAACAAAGCATTTTGTACAAAGTATTAAATAAATTTCAGTTAGCGTGTTGGACACTTTCCCTGTGTCATTCCATTTTATTACACAACTTAAAATCTGAACTTATTTGTTTTGGTTTCTTTGTATGTATGGATTGAACGGGTTGTTACCAACATGTGGTGAAAATTTCATGTCAATAGCAACTTTAGAAATATATTTACTGGGCAAAATGGTGACATGTGCAATACTTATTTTACCCACTGTATGCTTTGAAAAAAATAGATATGTTGACTTACTTATAAAAATGCCTTATCTTGGAGTACAGTACAAGACACAGGGCTGTATTCATAGACCATTGTTTATATGCAGGATATCTTCAGATGATTGAACACTGGCAAAACCTTTTGCTAGGGCTGCCCCTAGAGAACACCCATACACCCATGTCCACTCAATGAAGCTCCAGTGATCAAAGTACAAAGCAGGAGGGACAAGCATCGGGGCTCAGAAGAAAAGAGAACACCAAAGTTGAGGTGACACAGGTGGTAAAACTCGAGGAATACCAAGAGTAACTTTCTGTATAAAAGTCCCGATAAAAGATTGCAAAGAAAGGTTTTTGGAAAAGTATGGATGAAGCAGAAACATGTTCCTAGGGATGCTCAGGGTCAGACACTGAATGGTGCGAAGATAAGAGAATTAACTGTAAGGACAATCAAAGAGTGTCTTCTATACGTGATGGTAAATTATGTGTAGTTGGATTTCCAGAGTAAGGTGGGAATAACCAATCCAGGGACACCCCTAACCTTTAGGATGTAGGTTTCAACAGCCCTGCCATTAAAGCTAGATAGAGACTGAGAAGCAGGATGAAATGGGGGCTCGTCTGCCAGAAATCTGAGTATATCTGTGGACAAACATTAGAAACAGGGCACAGGAGTGGTTAAAATGAAACATTTATTGGGATTAAAAAGCAATATCCATTTACACTGTAGTAAGCATTTAAATCACAGCACAAAGCAAAGCATTATAAAGCAGAAGAGGCTTGGATGACTTGTGAGGTAGAGAACTGTCAAGAGCTGACAGGTGCGCTGGAGCCGTTTAGCCTCAGCTGGGCTATCAGGAGAGCAGTGTGCTTTATCAGACACAAAAAAAGGAAGAAAGTGTGGACACCTGCAAACAGTATTTCATGGGTCCTCTCCTTTTTTTCATGCGGCATATCTCTTGCAATAAATGCTTCATCTTAACATCTCTTGTGCCCGGTTTCTATTATTTCTGCCTGGATTCTTAAGGAACAGAAGGATAAACCACAGTTTATCATCTGGCTATACAAGATGCCCATGGGCTCTCGTATTATCTCTGGTTTTCCCTGCCTCCTGACCTGAAATGATTGATTCTCCCTAGGGATTTGTAAGATTTCTTATGTCTCCATTGATTTTTTTTTTTCTTTTTTACAGTTTTTCCCCGCTTCTTTGTGATTTCGATATAAAAACTTTACTGTCTAAAAGGTATGGCCTGTACCTTTTAGCAAAAGACTTACAGTATTTAAGATGAAAATTCAAGTTTAGCATAAATGGAATGTGCATGACTTGCTTCCCCCCCCTACCCCTATCTATTGAGAGAATCTGTGTACTATGTTCTTCTGGGCCACTTTGTGCTCCAAGATAGAGTAAAGGGTCCCTTTGATTCTCATTGAAACAAAGAAGTCTGTTCAGGGATTTAGGTTCAGTACTGGGCAATATCCCCATTTCGGTAAAAAGCCATCAAATCTGCCTTCCTTTGAAATGAAGAGGGCAGACTAGAAAAAAATTGGTAAAAAGTGAGAAGGGGCATGGATAGAAACTCTCTTTTTTTAGCCCTTTGCAATGACAGATTGGACCCAGAGGTCAAAGAGGTCTCAGATCTAGACTACGCAAACACCAAACCCCCCCCCCCCCCCCCCATCCAAGGAGTAGGGCAGTTCATGGTGAGGAGGGCTTCTGTGAAGGTTTGGTAGGCCTGGGACTTGCAACAAAATCTAGTGTTAAGCATTCCTTTTGAGGTTGACTCCTACAGAGAATGGAAATATTCCTTTATTTGATTAGAGGTAGAAGTTGCACACGTAGCAGACAAAGCATAACTCCGGGCAAAACTTCTTTACATGTCCTTGTTGCTGATTTCCTTTCCTACCTTCACTGAATAGGTCATCCATCTTCTGGTTCACTCAGTAGTTGCTCTGAAATAGGCTATTTTCGAATCAAACCATTAATTCTCTTTGGTTTCCTGTTTGTAAGACTAGTAGCTGCTATGCCTCCTATTCCCCCAGCAACTAGTTTTAGTACATCACTGCTTGCTGGAGAAAGAACTACTGAAGGGATGTACAGGTGAAACTCAAAAAATTAGAATATCGTGCAAAAGTTCATTTATTTCAGTAATGCAACTTAAAAGGTGAAACTAATATATGAGATAGACTCATTACAGGCAAAGCAAGATAGTTCAAGCCGTGATTTGTCATAATTGTGATGATTATGGCTTACAGCTCATGAAAACCCCAAATCCACAATCTCAGTCCATGCTTAGTGTGTGCACAGACAGACACACAATGCCCAAAGGTTTAAGTGAAACGTCTCTCCTTTTTATCTCTTTAAGGTCGTTGATTTCTTATTGCCCAATTCTTTTTTCCGCCAGTTTGTGAAAGGGTTTGCCAATACTTTTGTCAGCCCAATTAATATCGTGAAAAGGTGCAATATTCTAGGCTCAAAGTGTCCCACTCTAATCAGCTAATCACAATCATGGGAAAGACTGCTGACCTGACAGTTGTGCAGAAAACCATCAATGACACCCTCCATAAGGAGGGAAAGCCCCAAAAGGTAATTGCAAAAGAAGTTGGATGTTCCCAAACTGCTGTATCAAAAGCATATTAATAGAAAGTTATGTGGAAGGGAAAAGTGTGGAAGAAAAATGTGCACAAGCAGCAGGCATGACCGCAGCCTGGAGAGGATTGTCGTGAAAGTCCCCAACACTTTTGAATGGCCTTTTCCTAAGGAGTGGACTGAGGCTGGAGTCAGTGCATCAAGAGCCACCACACACAGACGGATCCTGGACATGGGCTTCAAATGTCGTATCCTCTTGTCAAGCCGCT